CATTTTCAATGTTGAGAACTCCCTCCTGAGTGTTTACCACTATGCTGCCACCTCTGCTGGATCTGTCCTGTTGGTGGGACAGGTCATATCCAGGGAAGATGATGGCAGTTATGATAGATAATCAAAATGCAGTTTATACAACTTTTCAAAAGCATTCAAAGCCAAAGTATCACAAGATTATGCAGTGTTTTGTGGAATGTGATCACACAGATAGAGATAATTGGATGGCAGAAAAAGAATTAGAACATAGAACACAGAACAGTACAGCATGGTACAGGCGCTTTGGCCCACGATGTTGTGCCAACCTATTATCCTACTCTAAGATCAAACTACCCTGCATATCCTTCATTTTACAATCATCCATGTGCCTATCCAAGAGTCGCTTGAATGTCCCTAATGTATCTGACTCCACTACCACCGCTGGCAGCACATTTCACGCACCCACTACTTAAAGTAAAAATATATTCCTCAAGACTCAAAAAGTGGGATTTGGCATTCCACTGAGCTGCTCTTTGCTTTTTAAACCTTATAATAAGTATTTCAGATTTAGAATTGAGGGAGCAAGAATGAAATTTGTTGGTTACAGCAGATTTCATATTGCAACAAGCACCGAGGTCTGCAGTACACAGGCAGGCTAACAGAATGGACAGTGAAGTGGCAGATGCAGTGTAGTGAAGCAAAACACGAAGCAATAAATTATAGAAAAGTAGGGAAAAAAATCTTAAATTTAGGTAAACATTAGTGCAAAGATATGTACGTTTTTAACAGGAATAGCACAAGCAAACAGGCTGTAAAACAGAAAAACAGAATCTTTAGTCTTGAATCCAGAAACTCAGAATGTGAAAGTGAGGAGATAATGCTGTGAACTAAATTGAGATCTTTGTTTGTAATAGCAGAATTATTATAATTTTGGCAACCACACTTTAGAACAAATACAAAAACAACTGAAAAGGTGCAATGCAGATTCACTTGGATGATACCACAGATCGTGGTTAACGATAGATCATAGTTATGACAGAACTCAAGGCGTTAGGTCATTTTTCGGTTGCAATTCAAATCCAATTGGAGGACGTTTCTGAATTTCAATTCAGTAAGTTTGGTCATTTTAATTCCAAGCCTTTGCAAACACCCAAGGCCGAGATTTAATTCTCCACTGCCTAGGTATGTGGGAATGCGTGTTTAGTGGCGACTGAATCTCTGTATCCATTAAGAAATCTCGCAGCATCGAGCTCCATCAGCTAGTTAACAGCTGACTGATGAGCTTCATAATTACAGGCCTCGATGGTGATGTCCTAACAGCCAATCGTAGGCCAGTATCTTGTTGCTTCCCCATTCCAAAAAAAAAATCAACACTGTAGGCCCAGAACTTCAGGGGAACCAAAAGTAAGAAGAAGGATTTATTTCTTCAGCGGGGTAGGGTTCAGTTGACCCCTCAGCAGCCACTCCCTTGTCCCACTTGGCTCCAGATTAAATGGCACTTCCTTCCCTTGAAATCTGGTAGGCAGGTCACTCTGGTTTCAGCCACTTTTTTCACTTGCCCAGTCCCTAGTGCACCTTCTCATCCAACACCTAAATGCTGAGGTGACAAGAAGGGGTGAATATCTCTCCAGGGCCAAATTGCCCAATTAGGAGCCCTTCTCACCACCTCTAGGGAGGAGAAACGGCACCCCAAGAGTTTCACTAATATCCTTCAGGAGAGGGAATCTACCACCTGAACTTATGTGGTCAAATTGTGAGTATAATGTATGAAGAAAAAACCTGAACTGATGGAAATCTTCAAGATTATTACGAGTTCTAATAGTGACAGACTGTTTCAATTGGTCGATAGGTGGTGGTAAACAGGCACAAATTTAAGAAAATCACATAAAGGCTTAGAGAAAAATGTTGAAAGGAAAGGGAATTAAATTTGTCAAGGTCAGTATGGCAAAACAGATTTATAGCAAATTAACAACCTGCTTTACAATGGGTTTGATTTTCTTTACATTAAATGCTGATTCACGGTCAGCCTGTCATGCATTACTGACATTGATCCATTTTACCCCCATTTTGTTTTATAAGGTGTGGTTAGGATGTGAATTCTCTGTTTCAGTTATTGTTGAAGAAGAATCAGTAGAGTTTTAATTCCTTTAAAAGGCAATTAGATACTCATTGAAAATGACACATATTAAATAACATGGAAATATTGGAGAAATGAGTTTAGATCTGGTAGTTCACAAGAAGAAAACGTTCACATGCATCTGAAAGCTTAAAGGGGCTGTTTCTATACTGCATGATTTTATCAGACACTAGAATTTTGAGTAAGAATCAAGTTAGAAATAAGTTCCACATTGAGTAATACCAAAACAGTTTAATTTTTCATCAGTAAGGATTGTTGAAAGGGAATAACTTGTTCAAATCTTACCTTGTAAAGTTTAAGAATTACTTTTATACATGTATGTACGAACTTGCTTTGCTTTTCAAGGCTTCCACCGTAAAGTGCAACAAGCTCCTCATTAAAATCAATGCTAAAAAAATCGAAGTGGAATTTGTTATGTATATTCTCAGCTTTTCTTAGTGCAACAGAGCCCAGGGAACGAACTGAAACACAAGACCAAATCAAAAGGATTTGTAAATATTCAGATGAAATGAATAACATATCAATAAACAAAATATTGGATAAACTCAGCAGGTCCATCAGATCTGTGGAGGGAAAAAAACAAAGCTAACGTTTCAAGTCCGTTAACTCTTCTTCAGCATTGACCTTTAGACCTTGCTTGAGTGCCAGTCATTAGGATAGGAATGATTAAAAACCAGTTTAACAAATTTAGAAAGTACCTTGCCTGTAACTTCCGGCATTTCCAGGAAGAAATAGAACAGGGATTCCTGTGGCTTTTAGATTGTGTGCTTCAGCAGAGCCTCCCTCTCCATAAAGATACAGACCATAACTAGGATACTTATTGACAACTTTATATGGAAGCTTGATCTTCTGTTCACAGAAAAGAGACAACTATTAACTGTGGCAATATCTCTTCCTTTTAAGAAATGTTATATTTCTTTAAACTAAAACAATTTCAAAATTTAGTGCCCACGTTTTTGCCCTGTCCATATAAACATTTGCAACACACACAAAAGTCAATAGCACAAAAATGGAATTACCAACAGTTTAAGGATTCATTGATATTACATCTAGGGTGGACACAAAACAGCCACATCATAAATTAAATAGAATGCTTTTCTGCAATACTAAAAAGCTACAATATGAAATATTTATATTATAAATAGAATATTTTAAATGAATTTAGTTCATAAATGGGTGGTCTGGTGACAATAAGCAGAAGAAATAATTGCTTCTACATTTACCATCTTCTATTGAACAGAATAGCTCATGCAGAACAACAAAAGATCTCTGGTACTAGTCAGTTTTAAGTGCTCACATGAAAGTGCCAATGACTTAAAGGCACCACCACAGGCAAGCCTGAGCTCACTTTCACTAGATATCTACAGAGAATGCACTTTCAGTAATGAATCACAATTAGAACCTGAAATTCTGATCAATGTTCTTGGAGACACTAACTCGGCTATAGAAACAAGAATATTATTTTAAATACAATATTATTAAGTAAGATTTGAATTAAGGCCTTGATCAAAGCAGGTAAGACATTGGGAGTGAAAATGTGATAAGATGCCTGGCATAATCTTAAAGATATATTATTTTATGATTATTATTGTTATTGTTTGAAATAACATATTGATGAGACTATTCACGGTACAGTAGACTTTTTTCCAAGTGATTAAGTGAATTTAATCATGACAAGTGGAACATCTAAACAAAATGTTTACATTTTTAAATAGACAATGTTGAATCAGCTTCGTTCACTAATCAAGGTTGAACAGTTATAGACTTATGACAAATTATTAATTCATGTTGCAGTAAACATAATCTGTTGAATGTTTTGTTTTCTGTAGACTGGTGAGAGAAAATGTACTAAATGGCCAATCTATAACAGTTAAGTTGAACTTCAAGCACACTGATGCAGTAAATACCAAATAACAGCATTAACCAAAACCTTTTCACCATTCTAACCAATTGTTTGAATTAGACTGTAAATCAATTCCAAAAAAAGTAATTATCTTATTGTTTGAAATAAGTAGAGAAGTAGAAATCTAATCCACACTCAGCAGAAAATTTAAATTCAGAGCACTTTATTCTATACAGATGAATCATTTTTAAGATTCGATCACCCATTATCCTTGTGCCCAATGACCTAACTTAGCTCCTAAGGAAAAAGTTTTAAAATATTAATTTTTGCTTTCAAATTCCTCCATAGCCTTTCCCTTCCTACCACCTCTGTCAGAAATCACACGACACCAGGTGATAGTCCAACAGGTTTATTTGAAAACACAAGCTTTTAGAGCCTCACTTCTTCTTCAGGTGTTAGTGAGAGTGGTATTATCAGACACAGTAAAAGATCAAAGGGTCAGACCACTGTATTAAACAAACTAAAGATTCTGTTACATCGTTAATCAATTAGATTTTAATTTATTAATATATCTATATGTAAATCCCCAAATTCCATTCAAGTCACTGTCCTGGGAGAACTAATGGTTTTATCAGCGTGAAGAAGAAGTGACATTTTAGGTCAGACTAACACCTGAAGAAGGACTGAGGCTCTGAAACCTTGTGTTTGCAAATAAACCTGTTGGACGATAACCTGGTGTCGTGTGATTTCTGACCTTGTCTTCCGCAGTCCAACACCAGCACCTCCACATCATGGCTACCAGCTCTGTAACCTCCTTGGACTCATCTGAGCTTCTGCAATTCTAGCTTCTTGTGCATTTTAATCATTCCACCACCGCATGCATCAGCTGCTTGGACCCAAGCTCTAGGATTCCTTCCCTCCTCACTCGTCCTTGCTAATTATCTTTCCTCCCTTATGACACTCCTTAAAACCAACATCTTTGACCAAGCCTTTAGTCATGTAAACTTTTTTTTCTTGTTATGGCTCAATATCATAGTTTGTTTGATAACATTCCTATGAACTGTCTTGCAATGTTTTACTACATTAAAGATGCTATGTAACTGCAAGTTGTTGATTTATATCAGCACGGGTTGCCTAGTCCATTGTGCCTTTGCTAATTGCTAATTACACATTTTATGTGTCAATTCCACTCCACTCTCTCCTCCTTCAAATAATTCCCTCTCAAAGATTATGATTCACTGGTTTCATTACATATCACTGCTAAAAAGACCAAATTTCCCCATTTTGATACTAATCCTAAATAAGGCCTAAGTATTAATTTGCCACTCAATGGGAATAATCAGTCTTTCTCTCACACCTTTTCCAAATTTTCAACATCTATATTTCCATTAACATTCTCAGCTCCACTGAACACAAATAAATTTTCCAAGTCTCTCATCATAACTATATCTTTTGATCCCATCCAAACTGCAGCCTTTAATGTTTTCAATATCTTTTCAATAATAGATAAGCATAAACTTACAATGTACTCCAACTGTGACATACCAATGAATGCAGATTCATAATTACCTCATCTTTGTATCTGATGTTACTATGTAAATCCTCAATTTCAACTGCTCTGTTACAGTTGAAATTTTTGCTTTTGTTTTTGTTTATTTAACCTATTTTTTTTCTAACTACCCTGTTCAGAAATATTATTACAACTTCTGGAACACATGGCACTTGAACCTGGGCCTCTTGGTTCAGGGGTAGGGACACTACCACTGTACCATAAGAGGGCCCCCCCCCAAAAAAAAAAGTGGTTCCCAGCCTTTACCCAACTCCTTGCATGGGGCAAGGGCAGTAGGAACCTTCTGGACAAGTGGCAAAAGAGCTAGAACCAGAACATGCCGGTTCTGCAGTCTGCAGAGAATGTTACTAATTAGCATTAACTTTCATTTTCTCTTTATTTTTCCCAGAATGTATTTATTTCACGTATGTGTGTGTTTAACTGCACATGACAGAAAGCTGACAATTCTCTTTAAATTCATCCTGTCACATGCAGTTAACATACCACGTTCCCATACTTGGCACTACAAACAAACAGCAATAATATTCCCCTGAATTCATGACAAAATCAAGGACAATGGATGATCCATCTTGGATCATTCACAAACCATCTGCTACATTTTTCAAATCTGTCTCTCTATAACTTTAAGCCAACCTTTCTGTGCTTCCCTCATTTCAATACCACAGCCCTTAATTGTCACTTTATCAAATAATTTGAAAATAACTGACGACTCACCTTAAGAGGCTTAAGAAGCAACAATACATTTGAAGGGCTCAGCTGAAGGAAAAATCATGTTAAAATCGACTAGGGGTTTGGCTTGTAAATGTGTTACTTGAAAAATATACTACACAAAAGATGTGCCATTAGTATTATGTTCAGTCATTTCTGATCCTGCTCCCGCTGCCACTTTTTATCCTTCAACTTCGAATGAAGTGAATGGACTATGAGTGAGAACCATGAAAGAACACAATCACTTGAACTTTGAACACCAACAATAAAGTTTTATCTTTAACCAGTTTGTTTGGTCAACCACAGGTGTGTCAATTGCTAGTTATATGTTAAATGTCCACAACCCAACTCCCTATTTTTTCTCCTTCAAATAGTTATGTTTTTCCTCTCAAAGATAGTGATCCACATGCCTTCAATACTTATCACTGATAAAAATTCTAAATTCACCTATTTTGGTGCAAATCCTAATTCAAGCCTAATTATTAATTTGCCATTCAATTGAAATAATTATTTTGCCATCTTGAAACTTTTCAAAATTTTGAACATTTATATTCATGTCAAGCTTCTCAGCTCTACACATTAATAGTTTCTCCATTTTTCTTCCTAGACTATATGCTCATGTTATGTAAAACAGTAACATTTGAAGACATCTGCTACACTGGAGAAAATTAGATCTGGCATGTTGATTTAATTTAGGACTGAGTTCTGTCCGTACTTTTGAGAGGTACATTATTAGCCGCAGTCCATGAGGGACAATAGGCTGTTGAAGGAAAGAGAGACAAGTGTTATGTAGATCAGCAATGATTTTATTGAATAATGGAACAGGCTTAAAGGGCCAAATGGCCTAATCCTGCTTCTAAATCCTCCAACTTGAAGTGCACCAGTTTGCATCAAGCATAAGGCAAGTAGGTAGGTTTTTTTTAATCATCACAGTTGCTACAAGAATGAAAACTGCACTATTGGTTTGAGTTTTGACAAACCAATCTAATTTTTGAATGGGCACTTAAAATGAAAATACAGTATAACATTAAAGGTTTGACATAGTTTTTTTGTTCTTGTGTATAATTTTGAGGCATTAATTCTCAATATTCATCAGCAATCATCAAACTCCAATTGTCATCAAATTCTCATCCACTTTCAGCTTAACAAAAGGAAAAAACCGTCAAAGAAAGAAATATTAGTTCAGATGTTGCATCTTTAAAACGGTCACAAAGAATCCCATGGCACTATTTGAGAAGATTATGGAAATTAACCCTGGTGACTAGGTCAATATTAATCCCTCAACCAAAATCATAAAAACAGATCATTTGGTCACTATCAAATACAATTTGTAGGTGCATCCTGCACACAAATGGCCTGCCACATTTCCTTCAAGTATTCAGTTTAAAAGTGCTTAACAGGCAGTGTATCACTTGGGCTACCTTAGATTATGAATGGTGTTATACAAATGTTATTCTTTCTTAGATGTGAGACAGCAGCTTACTTCAGATGTAGGACCCTAAGTATTAGAAAAATAGTCGAGATACAAAGGCAAAAATTGACAGAAGTAGTTGGTAAGATCAGAGGTCATACCTTCTGCTTATGGAAACATCAGTTTAGGGAGAACTTTTTTTTTAATGAAACTCCAGATTAAAGGAGATGGCATGGAAGATGTTCACTAAAATGCCAGGAATGCATCATTTTAAAGTTGGCAGAAATAGAGAAAAATGGGGCTAATTTCATTGAAACAAATTATCAAGATAATACCTGATGGAAGATGTTGAAAACTGAACAGCACGTGTAAGACAACCTAAAAAGAAGTTTATCAAAAGACAAAAAAACACTTTCTTTCGCTTTAGGTGGTGATCTGGTAGGACATGGGAAGCCCTACGAGAAAGTAACGGTGGAAATTAAATCCACGAAAGCATTTAGAAGATACATTTCGACGGGTGTGGGAAGGAGGAAGTGGAAGCCAGACCAGCGTGATGATCCAACTGTATCAGAGATAGTAGGAACTGCAGATGCTGGAGAATCTGAGGTAACAAGGTGTAGAGCTGGATGAACCCAGCAGGCCAAGCAGCATCAGAGGAGCAGGAAGGCTGACGTTTTGGGCCTAGACCCGA